GCGATGGGGTTTTGATTGTGGTTGTTTAGATGGGAGCAGTAGGGGAGGGAAAGAGAAGGGGATGTGGTTTGGGATATACGTGGGGATGGTTTTCTGGGATAGCTTCTGGTATTTCGAAGGATTAGGGGAGTGTAGGTTTTCTAGTTATAACTTCTCAAGGAAGGTTGGATGAATTACTGGGAGTTTTTGCTCTGTTAAAGTGCAGCATATATTCAAGTATATATATATCGAATTTATATATAAATAGAGATGATTTTGTAGGTTTTATGTTTCGGATGCTGGCTGGTTGGGTTTGGGGAGAGTTATGTGCACGTGTTTATTGGGTTGAGGATGGCTATTAGTGGTTAGTGGGGGTTATTTTGTTGATGTGGTGTAGGAAAAGGTAGAGGTGCAAGTAGAGGTTCTGTTTATTGGTTTGATCATTTATTTAATATGGTCTGGAGTATAAATAAGTGGATGGATGGGTTGAAGATTAGAGGTTGGGGTCAAGTTTGGTGTAATTAGCGCTTTCCTATCTCGCCAGCTAGATTTTTGAAACACAGGGAATCTGCTAGCAAAAATGTGGCGGGTGCGGGTAATGGAGTAGATATACAAAGTAGATCTAGTCTCTAGGAGAATGTAGATGAATTAATTCATTATACAATGGGAGATCTCGGGTGTATGGAGGAGTTGAATACTCTAGATTTTGGGGGATGAAGTTATATTTCCGAGAGGAGTAAGAGGTAAATAAATAGTCAGAAGCTTGTGTGATGAAAATAATGGGTATGATGGTTGATAGTTCAATATCTATCGATAATGTAAAAACTAGCTGTTGATCGTCTCATTAAGCGAAGTAGATGGATAGGAGAAGGTGGGTTGTAAATCTCTAGGTATTTTGTGCAGATACAATATAATTTTAGACTTAGGGAAAACTCAGGATGCACTTAAATTTCTATTATCTTCGCGCGGGTTATTTATATATAGTAAATATATATTCTCCCTGTACTCAAAATTGACTCCTAGTCTAGTACACAACAAGTGCTTTCTCAAAATTTCAACGATTTTGGAGATACAAACTAGAGGGAGGTATTTTATACTACTAAGGTTAATGAAGCAACAAGAAAGAAAATAGAACGCTGAATCTTGCACGTTAAGCAAAGCATTCTTTTTTTAAACAGTGCTTCTAGAGTACTCTTTTCCTTCGTTGATTAATTTTATACCAACAAATGGATGGATTCCGCTTTAGTTATTGTGTGTTCTTAACTTGGCACAACTTTCTCTATTGAGAGTCAATACGGGATACGTTCTTCAGTTCTTGTCGTATCTTTTATCTACTGTGCCAATAATCTGTATTACTACTTGATTGCTTTGAAGTTTGTACTAGTATAGCTATGGTTATTGATGATTAGATTCTATAGAATAGATTGAATAACATCTCATAAGCACAATTTGGAGACGGAGTTATTTTAACAGAACTTGTTTTCCATTTGACTTCTTATGAAAGCGAGGAATTAACTATGAGATGAATACCCTCAAAGGAGGTACAGTGAATAATTTAAGCTTCAAATATCAACAGTCAATGAAATAACTATGCTATTTTCTCTTCTGTATTGAATAGTAGAAGAAGAATAAAATTATCCACTTCAAAAGAATTATAATTAGCAGATAGTAGGATATCAAATACTTAGTTGAAATATTTCGATAAATTGGGGACAATCAGGATTAATCAGTAGCAGCAATAAGATTGAATGGAATATACAAAATTCTCAAATTTACTAGAAAAAAAAACTAAATAATGAGCTAAATAGTGTGAGATGAATAGACTTGCTCTCGTGATAGCTTACACGAGATCAATATAGACAAATTGAAGTAATCTTATATAGAATGAAATTTCACAAATAATAATACGACGAAGAAGTAAAGGTCTACAAGATTAGGAACACAGAATGAAACATCTCAATATCTCGTCATTCTTTGGAGAACAAACCCAAATAAAAGAAAAAACATGAGACAACAATGTTAGTTCTTTTATCAGCCATAGGGAAATCATTTACTAACATCTCAACTTTTCAAATATATAAATTTTTCACTTTAATCATGTCTCAACAGTACTAATTATAACGACAACGTGTAAACTATGCTCTTCTAATATCATCAACAGAACTTACTATAGACTTCGGTGATACTTCCATTATAGCCATCCCTTTTACAGGCACTTTTACCCCTATCCTGCCTCTAAGAAAGAATACCAATTCCACCAGAACAACAACTAACTCCCAGACTTTGACAGTGTAAAGCATTGCTCAAAGCCTTACCATCCACCACAAAAATCTCTTCACTACCAACCATAAGACAAAAACATCCTATTTCCATTCTCATTCCACAATTAATCTTCAGTCCTCTCCACATTCAAAACAAGATCTAACATACAACACCATTCATCAGATCTACTCTCCCAGGTATACGCCCTGCCTCTCTGAACACAGATATCACCCTTTTTCAAAACCGTTTCCTCGCCATCATCTACACATAGTAATCTTACAATTTCACCTTTCATAACAACCATGTAGTCGCATGTGATTGGATGGTCCGATGAGTGAGAGTGATGTAATGTAATTGGGTGGAAAGTCTGCTGTGTAGACTACTCCTGCTGGAAGGGGACGAGGAATAGATATTTCGGTATCGAGGTTTATGGGGGAGGTGAGTGGGACAAGGAGAGAAGGAAGTGTATGAATAGTTGTGAAGCTTGATGCTGAGGGACCGAACGGGTAGAATAAGGGGAGTTGGGAGGAGCAAGAAATGGTCGTGGAGTCGGATTCGGTATGTGAGGTTACTACTGTGTGAGGTGGTGCAATAGTAGACATCTTTGCTGCTGAAATAATTTGGAGAAGGTGGTGGTTTTGCTGGAATGTGTTTGATTTTCAATTGCAGCTTCATTCTTGCTGTGGTGGAAATATTCCATGAACTTTTAATTGTTTTCAAATTGGAGATTTCTTGACTTGATAGACCTATCTTGTGTACAAGATTGGTATGCAGAAATAGGAAAATGTGTAATGATCAGAAAGAAGCCAAGAAGTAGTACTCTACTTAGATCAAATATGAAGCTATTCAAAAGTACACGAAGGATTCTGTGCATACTGTCCCCAAGTAATTCCGCTACCTTGTAACGATTCCCGGGATTGACATAAATGATGATCAAGGAGCGTTCACCAGCGAGAAGCCGAAAGTGCGAAGATAATCCATTCCAAGATATGTGCCGCACTGCAGACAAAAAGAGGAAGCTTTTGATTCCTATTTAACTATTATTGTAAGATTCGTACGCTTGTATGTCCAGACCAATTGTGTTGAGGCAATTTGATGATTGATAGTATAAGAGCGTAAGGCCGAGAGCTGCGAAATTCTTCAGGAAGGATTCAGAACAGTCTAACGACGTCTCCTTTCCCTATCTGAAGTGCCGAGCTCAAAATGCGAGTCCCATACACGTGTAAGAAATTGCAATGCTTGAGTAAGTAAGGTTATAGCAAATCGAAATAATGACGAAAGGTCAATCGCATGGAAAGATATTCGACGACCTAGGCGTATATACCATCGTACTTTCGGGTACAGAATAGGGGGTAGCAATCCCCATTTCATCTCAGTGTTACATTTATCCTTCTGCTCTGTAATTATGCCTTTGCCTGCAAAACATTGATTTTTTGTGATACTCTAAATATCTGGTTTTGTAACATCAGAATTTCCCTCCGAGTTTTCTTACGTGATGTTGCCACGGGACCCTGGAATGCCAAAATTACAATCAGGTATCATCAACAGGGAGATCGATATCTATCTGTCTTATCATTTTGTTGCTGGTAAACCTGAATTGTGATTGGCTCCCCAGTACCCTTTTCGTACTCCCTTGGAAGTTGGAATAGGGTGACTCTAGTCACGGTTACTCCATTTACGGAGTAGAATGCAACTACCCCGTACCATGCAGCCTACATTTAAACACCTCAGATCCAATTGTTAGGAAATACCCTTCCATAAAACAGTTCACCAAGGTGAAGTCGCGGTCACCTATATATTCTCAAAAGCATCCAATTCCAGGAAGCTAATATATACAGAACCATGTCGACAATGAGAGAGATTGATAAGATACCAACAGTGTTGGAACGGCCGAAGGAAATGAAACTACTTTGTCTTGGGCTATCTCGTACGGGAACCAATTGTATGTATCAAAAATGATTCGAATATCTCCTGCTAATATTGCAAATGAAAGCATTGTATCTCGCTCTCCAACAGATTGGCTACACTCCATATCATGGCAACCAACTATTCTCCAACAATCGCCATAATAAGTGCTGGGAGGAGGGTTTGAAGTCGAAGTTCTATGATGGTAAATCATATGGCCTCGATGAGTTCGATAAACTGCTAGGGAATTACGATGTAGGTTTCCTAGTGCCTCCGTATACTACACGCACATGAAGGCATAGTCCCAAGCTAATAGCCATGCCCACACAGGCTGTGACCGACTGTCCTTGTGCCAATTTTGCCAAGGAACTATTAGCAGCATACCCCAACGCAAAAGTCATCCTCACCACGCGCGACCCCGACAGCTGGATACGATCTATGGAGTCATGCTACTACCAAATTCTCGACATACTCTCCTGGAACCCTATTGTGTATCTCGAGCCCAACGAATGGGGAGCCTTTCGAAGCCTCCTCTACATGATCCTAACACATATAACTCGAGGCGAATGGAAAAATCGAGCAGCTTTACGTCGGGGGTTCTTGGAGCATAATGACTTGATTAGATCTTTGGTGCCCAAGGAAGAGTTGTTGGAATTTCAAGCTGGACAGGGCTGGGAATCTCTGTGTCAATTTCTCAATAAACCTAAACCGTCAAGTCCATACCCAAAGACTAATGAGGGAAGTACGGCTGCAAATCTTGTCCGCATGTTTTATCGGATGGTTCTTTTGCAGAAAGCGATGAAAGTGTTGCCGATGATATTGGCTGTGTCAACGGTGATTATAAGCTGGGTTGCATGGAAAATGTACTTTCAAGAATGTTGATAGAAGTTTGGCCCGCCATTTGGTAATTTGTTCTCTCATCAAAGAATGCTGGATATATTGAATTTGTCTGGTTTATCTCTTATATAATAAAGAATTCGAAATTTGATATTAATTCAAGAATCTCCAATTGATTAACCTTACCCACCCAGCTTGATGTTTGGAGGAATTGAAACAACGTTACAAACAATTTATCCATGATGAGTAATAAGATATGAAAAACTCAGTGAGCCTATATAAAATTATTCTTTTCCTGAACATCTAAGAAGGCTCAAACGCGGCTGGTTGACGTAGGAAATGATTCACGTCATACATACCAATCGCATTGAACGTGCAGCGACGATGACGTCATATATAAATCCTCCATCTCCAAACACAACATTAAATCAGACTCAGCTTAGTGTACTGAGTTCAATTTCCTCTTGAATAGGTAGAAAATATCCTCACCGCAAGAGTTCAATTAACTTCACAATAAAGTACAGGAGAACATCACCAAGTCACGGGATATATGACCAGGTTCCCATTATCCATCATCCATCATCCACCAGATTAAACAGGAACAATCTCAACGGATAGCAAACCAAAACATTCCGGTGCGCTCCATAATACTTCTCTAGATATAGCATAGTATAAACTCATTAGTGAACTCGTACATAAAGATGCACCCACAAATCCACGTGCACCGATGTCAAACCCCTCGATCCCGATGGCGCGCAACATGGCAATCTCAACAAATCGATTAGTCAAACCATGGTATTCCGATGACGTAATCCCATTCATTTTCCATCATCACTCTAAGTCTCTGCCCATGACAATGATTTGATTTGATGCCCCTCAGAAGAAGCAGCTCAACCCATAAGACCAGATCAGATCAATTGCTAAAAGCGGGGTGGCTTGGATAAAAGTAGCCTGTTTAGAGGTAGGTATGATGTTTACCTACCTAGTATTATAAGCTAAGTTCCATGACGACTTCTTAAGCTGTTTTTAATACAGACTTATATCTACCTACTTTGAGTTTCTTTACTATTTGGATATCTAGTTCCTTTATTCTATTTACACGAAATACTGTTTAATCAAGCGGGAAAAGATCTGTAAGTTGTACTTTCCTTTCCTTTCCTTTCCTTTCCCGCTTTCCCTTCCTTCTCTCTCCAATATAAGACCTTACATCATCATCCATAAAATGCATCCATCACCCCGTCTCCTCACCACTCGAATTTTCAAGCCCCAAACCAATAAACTAATCCTCTCTTCTCTTTCTAGACAAACACAATACCCATTTCACCAACCAACACTCACACCCAACCCCATAAACCGCATCAGCAAAATGTCTTTCAGCAACGCAGACACCGGATCCAAGGAAGCCGATCCATATAAGTCCAAGAACATCGACAACGTATCATTGAAAGAAAAAGTCGAGGACTTGAATGAATTCATTGATGCCTGTAAGTTTGGTATGATGACTACGAGAGATGGAAAGACGGGCGCGTTGGTTAGTAGATGTATGGCTGTTGCTGCTAAGGTAGGTTTCCTTTTTTTTGTCGTCATTTTGGTTTATTTTCTTGAGAGGGTGGATTGCTATTGGAATCTTTCAGAGTTGATCGGTCTAAGAGCTTCAATGCTTGGAATCACTTAGACTCGATCTGACTGGGAGCTTCATTTCCGAGTTGAGCAATTTATACTAACCATCAAAATAGGAAAATGGAGGAACAACCCTTCTCTTCCACACCAATACCGAGTCTGGAAAGACCGACGAGTTGGCAACGGATTCCCATATCAACATATCATTCTTAAATTCCTCAGGAGAATGGGCTTCTATTTCCGGTATACAATTTCCATCTAACTCTCCCTTCCCCAAACCCCATCCCTCAACCCCAAACCTAACCCAACCCAAACCCCTCGCCTAACCACACTAACACCCCCACCTCAACACAGGCCTCTCAACCGTAGAAACCGACCGCGACCTAATCAAAAAATACTACACCCCCACCCTCAAAGCCTGGCTCGGCGATCTCAGCGACGGCGTCCACGATGGTGGTCCCGACGATCCACGCATTGGAATTATCAAAGTCGATGCAAAGACCGCCACCTATGCTATTGTACGCAAGGGATTGTTGGCCCGAGGAGCCGAGGTGGCGCAGGGAGCTATCACGGGAAAGACGGCTAGTGTTAATAAATTGAGGGAGATTAGTGAGGAGGAGATTCAGAAATGGAGGACTAGTTTGGGAATGGTCCAGTAGGTTTGGAGAGGATAGGTACTTATGATTACTCTTTTTGAGAGACGGGAATGAGGCTATGAATTAATTAATTAATTAACCAATCAAATTGTAACGCGGGGAGCTTGCCAATGTTATACTATTTTAACATTATGTCGATGACGTGAAATGCTAGCCTGTGAATTATGCAAAATATGCATGCCTGCCGATCAGTACCCAATACATACAACCTTTACTCAATCCATTCCCATGTTAACAGAACAACCTATGCTATGCCAAACCCATGTTAAACACTCATAATTACAGACTATCCAAAGTCTCCATGCGCCTCGCTCCTTCAAGTAGTACAAGTCCTTAACCAATGCTCAAAACTATCAATCGTTAGCAACAATACCTTCCAACCAAGCTATCCGATCAAACTTACCAACTTCAAAGGAGTTCTATTCAAACCCCTGGTAAAATTGCACATCGCCCTCTGTTTGGTTGGTCTCTGTTGTAATCTCCTAAACGCCTCTTGAATATGTCTCGTTTCGACAGGAGTCCTCCCCTCGCTGGGCGGATCAAACAATCCTTGTACCTTTCTCTTCTTGCCTCTTTGTTCGCCGCCGGTTTTCTCCTTGCCTAAATCTTCTTGTTCCTTGATTTTTAATGCTTCTTCGGTTAAGGTCTGGACGATTTCAAAGGTAAGGAAACCGAGAATATCAACGATATCGTCGTTGGGTTTGGAATCCGTGACGACGCCAAAGCCAGCCCATTCCTTGAATCGCTTTCCTTTACGGAACGTAAAGGACGCTTGACGGTACTCAGACCAGGTGACGTATTCTTCTTTTGTCATGGCTTTGGTGCGCTCGTCGGCTTTCTTGAGACGTTGTAAAGTTGCATAATTCATTTCTTCCTCATCTTCGTCCTCCTCATCTTCGCGTTCTGGAACTTCTTGGCTGTATAAAGAGGGTACCTCCCACGGAAGACCGACTTTGGCTTTCTTATTCTTCTTGGTGGTATCCGGAATGGGGGCATTTGCTCCTACTGGTTCGTCACCAGCCCCGATATCTGCGTCGCCCCCCTTCTCGTCAGAGTCTTTGACGTTTTTGCGGACATCTTTCCAGGAGAGAAAGGTTCGAAGACGAGAGACCTTAGCTTGGTCATGTCGGATAAGAAAAATCAGGTCGTCTGTCGATATCGAACGACTTCCGCGACGGGATGCCTGCTCAGTGCATTGGCGGAGCTAAACCAGTTAGGGTCATGTGACGACAAAGAAATTAGAGTGATTTTGAGAAGGGGAGATGATCCTTGCGGATATGTACTTACCATTTCGATGACTTGCTGCCTTACTATCTCTTCAATCATACCAGTGGTCTCAGATGATGCTTCTGCTGTCTCTCCAGACACATACATCATCTGTGAAAAGAAACGAAGAACTTGACGTTAGCCATATTCGGTGCGATGTTACTGATACTATTCTTTCACTACAGCTTTTGCAAAATGTGAAAATATTCAAACAATGAATGAACCCGCAGGATATGTATTGCGAAAACATATTCACTATGACTGGAATAGCAAATACCTCACCGCCAGCAATGACTCGATATAGCCTCATAATCTCCCACAACTGTAGGCCATAGCCGATTCATAAAGTATATCAAATAAAGGAATGAAATTTGACCATTCAAACAAAGGTGTAACTGACCTGCTGGATCTCTGTCTTGTACTTTGCCGTTTTGTCCGTCATTTTGGCAACCTTTCACTGTCCAATCACCCAAACTGAAATCTCTCTCTCTCTGAGACCTTATTCATAAATGAGGAAAATGACCAAAAGTACAATTAAATATTGAACAAGAGGGGAATTGATCCAAAACGTTATGTGTAATTGTACATAAATCAGGTAGTGAATGATGAAAGTCCAAAAAGAGCTCGAGAGTGATGAATTGTTGGAGTAACTGAGATCATGACTAACAGGGTGAGAGGCGGTCAGATGTACTTTACTACTTTAAGCAGGCAGAAAGTTATTATTCATATCCACTCTGGGGTAGTGGGGGTCTTCCTGCAGGGCCAAAAAAATTAATTTTCTTATCGAGAGGGACTTTCCTTTCCTACACACATGCATGGGGCTACCACCATTTCGGAAACGCGAGTCTCGAGGATTGTTACGATTATCAAACATTCGACACAAAGACTAGTATACGCAATGCTATTATACACATTGCTGCTCACATTTCAATTGCAGACATATAGCGAGAACATCAAGATCAGATCAAATAGTATATGATCTGTACAGCTTAGAAGGACAGGGAATAAAAGCTCATGTAAATGAAAAAAAAAAGAAACCTGGCTAACCTGGCTAATGCAATGCATATCCATCCTCCTAATAACACCAATGCTAACCAGCTTAAATATCATCGAAAACCCTGTTCGCCCCAACTCCTATCATTTCCCTTCATATAAAAACAGAAGCTAAGCTAATATGTCACTTTCAGGCCACTTCCTCCATAGAATCTGATATCATCTCGAAATTCAAAACCCCTGCGGTCCCTTCCCATCTGCACCCCCAGTTTTGAAAAATTCTGTTACTACGCCAATCGCGTAGCAGCCACCGCCGACGATTGCTCCACCTAGCAACACTCTCTTGGTCTTGCCGGGTTTCTTGCGCTCGGTTTCGGACTTATCTTCCCAGGAGGATTTCCGACTGAAGACATGTTCTTCGCGTCGAACGTCAATATTCGATTTAAATGCTGGTTCCGCGGATACCGGTAAATCGTGGTTAACAAAGCCTGTAGGGCTGGCAAATCTACCAGTTGCTACTTGCATACCATCTATCGGATTGGTTGTGTTATTCTTTAGATCGGCTTGCGATGGTAGGCGTCTTGCTGGTCGAATTTTTCGGAAAACAAGAACGTCACCACCTCCAGAAACAATCTCGTATCCTTCTGCCTGTAATGGCTGGAAGTGTGGAAAGAATTTGGCCGGATTGGACAACCGAAGAAGAACGTCAGCAGGAGTCAAAGCTGATGCAGTATCAGTCACGATTGATGTTGTTTCAGCGATTTTGATGGATTGCATTGTCGAGTCATAAGCCAGAACCTTGTAAGTAGTTGGTTCAAGGTCGGCCAGGGAGTTTTCTTTGGGGACGTTTCTAGCTTTAACATCATTTGCTAGTACCTGGCGATGTTTGGAGTCAATCTTGCCATATGCGTCTTCATAGATATCTCGGATCTCACGAACTAGCTCTTTGTCCTTACCGGACTGTTTTCCGGTCTTTCCATACGATGAAACATATACAGATGAGTTTCCTTCACCTTGGTTCGCGCATTCCTCTTCATATGAGGTCTCCAAGCCTTGAGGTACTTTTGAATACGGATCAACTTCTGCTTTTGCTTTGGTTAAATCCGCCCGAGGAGATGTTGATTTTGCTGCAGATCGATCTAAGGATGTTTGAAGCCTCGGTGTGTTTGGGTTTCGAGAAAAGGCTTCTTTCGAGCCAAGACCATCAATGTATTCCTTTTCATTCTTTGGGACAGTTTGTTCAACTTCTGCCGAATAAGATAGCTCTAGTCCTTTAGGCGCCTTGTCATAACCCCAAGCATCTTTGGACGATTTTGGCGTCAGTTCTCCTGTGCCGTTTTCTTGTTGTGTCCAAGATTTCTGGAACTCTTCTGGAAAGTCCCGAACAAAATTTCCTGTTACTTTCTGTTTCTCGGATTGTCCTGCATCAGCTTTTGTGTCCCTTTGGTCAATGGAACCAGAATCTTTCCCTATTTTGCAAGCTGAAGGGCCTGAACTTTCAAGGGTCTTGGTTTTAGCCTGCCTATTTTGCTCAGCAGCGATCTCCTTGGCAAACTCAACCACGTTTTGATGCGCTTCCTCAAACGCTTTCTCCAATTGCTTTCTCTTCGCGGACTTTTCTTCAAGAGTTTCCTTCTTGTGGTTCTTGATAATTCCCGAAGCAGCGCGAATGTCACTTGCACGAAGTAGGTCAAGATCTTCTCTGGTATCCGGGTCAGGGTATTTATGCGAAATTGATTGAAATTGCGAATTTTTAACATTCGTGTCTTTTCCGGATGGCTTTATTTCATGCACCGTGGAGTCGGAGCCAGAATCCTGGGACATCCTGGCTTGCTTTTGATCATACTCCTTTAATGCTTCGCGTGTCGGATCGGGACTCTCGGGAAATTTTCCATCTGGCTCATTGTAGCGAAAGGACCCATATGAGGTATGGCTATCATAATCCTTCAGACTTTCTCGGACTGAATCTGGCCTTTCGGGAAGCTTGCCATCAGGTTCGTTATACCGGAAGGATCCATAAGAAGTAGTTGTATCATATTCCTTCAACGACTCTTGAACTGTATCTGGCTTTTCAGGCAATTTTCCATCTGGCTCATTGTGACGGAAAAATCCGTAAGTCGTGGTTTCATCGTAATCCTTCAATGACTCTTGTACGGGGTCTGGTTTCTCGGGCAGCTTTCCATCGGGTTCTCTGTATCGAAACGCATTATAGGATGCACAATCATCGTAGTCTCTAAGTCCTTCTTGTATTGGATCGGATTTTTGTGGTGGCTGTCCGTCTGGTTCATTGTGAAAGAATGGTTTGTATCCTTCGCCATCATAATCCTTCAGAGATTCTCGTACAGAGTCAGGCTGCTCGGGTAGTTTGCCATCTGGCTCTCGGAAAAGAAATGGTTTGTATCCTTCAGAAACAGAATCATAGTCATTCAACCCTTCCTGTATCGGATCGGGCTTTTCAGGAAGCTTTCCATCAGGCTCATTGTACATGAATGGCTGGTTGTAGTTGTCGATATCAGCTTGACTACCACTGACATCCGGGGGTACTAAGTTCTGGAATCGGTGACGATATCCTTTGTATGTCTTTACTGGGATATTTACAGGCTTTTCTTCCTTGAACACCTTTCGATTCGTGATTGGGTCTATCTCGTAGTCTTTATTCGCCTCCTTGTCCGACTCGTTTTTCGACCTCAGATTTATCCAATATGCATCGTCAGCTTGTGATAGGCGGATCGACTCACCACCATCTCTGTTCTCTACATCCGCTTTGAAGGTGTACTTGGAGCGAGCAGGAGAAAAGTAAATTGTTTTACTGCGCATGAAGTTATGCATGGCGTGTTTGTAGCCTGGAACTCTTTCATCATGCTTAGTGTCCCTAGTAATTGGCTCTGCTTCGTCACGACTCTTGACAATTCGATCCATATTAACCCATCGTCCTCCAGGTCTTGTATCATGTGCTTTCCATGCGCTGCACCCAAAACTCTTCCCAAAGTTCTTCACAAAGCTCGAAGGTTTATGGTCCCAGGCAAACTTGCGATCTAAAGCCTCAAGGTATTTATATTTCAGAATTCGATGACGGCGTTTGAGTTCTTTTTCAAACCCCGGGTCAAGATATGAAGACCAATAACTACCCAATCGAAATTCTCGAGTTTGTTGATTGTGCCTGATATTGTTCGAGGTTGATCCGGCAGACCGAAGTATCTTGGCAGAAGCGGAAATCGATCCATATAAGATCAGAGGAGATGCCGTGGTCTGCGAGACCGAGGTGAGTTGCGAAGAAAGCATTTCGAAGACTTATCTCGATCGTATCATGCTCGGTGACCTAAATCATGTTTAGAAAAGAGCCAGAGATGAATCATATTTATACATACCAATGGTGTTTCATTCAACCTAGCCTTCAGAATTTGGCTAGTCGAAAGGAATCAAGATAGGATGAGTAAAAACGGAGCAAATTTATGAGATATGATGCTATCTAGGTTAGAATGGCGAACTTGTCAAAAGAGAAAACAAAGGCAGGAAAACCATTCACGCTAGGGATAAGTACTTTACGAGTAACTTTGACAATTCAAACAATCAAAGTTAAAATATCCTTTATTCCACTGGCTTTGATCTTTCGAGGTCTATGAAGACGTCCAAATGGCGTTTGTTGCGAATTCGATCGATCGCTTTGTTTTTTGAGCTTGATAGAAGCCTTTGCTTTGATTTGATTTGATTTTCTTTGCTTGTGACTGATGGATGGGTTGATTGATTGTGATTGATAGATTGAAGAATCAAGTGAATTTGAAATATTGAAGAAGTGCGCTGATATGTATCGTATCGTATCGTAGGGTATGGTGCGGTATGGTACGGTATGGTATGGTATGTTATGGTATTGCACACGATAAATAATCAACAGAGAATCTCGATAGATAGGATCTCAATCCAGGTGGAATCAATTAATCACCACCACGAGGGTTGATGTAATTTATGCGTATACTGATTGATGGACTGATAAATTGGTATACAGTAGTGTAGAGTAGTGTAGTGTAAGAGAGAGATGTAATATATAACAAGAAGTCGAATCAATCAATTCAAACCGATCACTCAAATCAATCACTCAGTCGATAAATCCTCTGTACAAAGATAAGTAAAAGTAAGTAAGTAAAAGTAAAGTCAGTAAAGAAAGCAAACCATGAAAGTAACAACCAAACTCAAGGCTGTGCAGCACAGTAATAAAGCAGTATAGGAATAGGTATAGGAATAGGTACGAAATATCCGTCCACACACACATGTCACATACCATTTCATTTCATACCATACCATACCATACCATACCATACCATACCATATCGTATCGTATCGTATGCGGCGGGTGGGTGCGGGGTAAAGGTCATCGATCCGATGCGCCATGGATTAGGTACGTGGTGTACGGAGTAGTAAGGTTACCTAGTACCTACCTACCTAGTACCTAGTTAAAATAATTAATTAACCCGAGATTTCCCGATCGACCGACGCGCGTGCTCACTGCCCAGTTGCTTGCTTGTGTGGAGAAGGATAAGAGAGAGAGAGGGGAAGAAAGCCTAATTTGTTGGTGGTGGTTAGTGTTTAGTCAGCTAGCTATGTTCTGATTTTGATTCGTTGCTGTCCAAGGCTTAGCTTTCTTTGGGCTTTTTGGGCGGTTAATGTGGGAAAATGGATGGGTGGGATAATTACCACTACCTGCCTTGGTACACCAGTACCTACATAGCAGGTGTTCCGATATTTACCCTTGTTCATTCACAAGCAGAAGAATTGGATTGGATTGAGGATATAAAATGTTTCATTATAATATATATTTGTGAAATATTAACACTCTGTCTATCTATTTGAGGATGTAAAAGTAAATCCTTTCTCAATTAATCAATTTTGCCGTGAAACCCAATGCTCAAACCTAAATAAGCCATGATTCTCCCCCTCCTACAAACCCAAGCAACTCCTTCCATAACTTTCCCTCATCTCTTCCCTCATGAAACGCCTCTCCCAAAACTGTGTACAACTCAACGACCATAATTGAAGGCACAACGACATAATGGACACGAGCTCTGGTTGCTGCTCGCAAACCATTTGAACAGACAATTTCCATGAAACGTATTCTTACACGTTCCACATTTCTTATCCGGCGTTTTCTTGTCGCTAGATATGATACTGTAGCAAATGGCACATTCGGTATGTCCCTTAAGACTACCCTCGACGTTACGACGGAAGGTGGTCAGTCCATCGATCAAGCTGCCATTGGAGAATGTGATGGCACCCTGTACGATGAGTAGCCAACTTCGCCATTTCTTTTCTGGGACGGCAACTCGGTTGAGGCCCTCGACTTTGACGTTGTAGAAGGGATAGTTGGGCGGAAAACGGATGGCAATTTGAACGCTAGTATCATCAATTTCATACCCAGCAAAGACTGAGCGAACGCCCTTGGAGGCTTTAATTTCGAGCTCCTTCTCCCCTCCTTCCTTGGCTTCCTTTGAAACTGCCCATTCATCAACCTCATCCAACTTATCCGAAATCAGAAGTGGAGTAAAATATTTCTCTGTCCATGTCTCGACCGCTTGACGTGTCTGCTTAGATTGGCAGTCAGAAAACCAGTTTTTGGCAAGATCACCAGTGTGTTTAAGACATAGATGATATAGATGAATAAGAAGCCATTGCATGTTTCGCTCGTTTGGTTCAGCATCTGCGAGTGATGTATCATATTTCCGGATGTATGATTCATTAAAATGTGCTTTCTCGAGGTTGAGAGGTACACCTCCTGAATGGCCTAACACGTCGAAGAGAAACGTCAAGAATGACCCGATGCAGTTTTCTGACTGGAGGTGATTGCAATAGTCTTTACGAACTTTCCAAGATGCCGTACTGAATGAGTCATAAACTAAATGCCATGAAAGTAAATAGCTCCGAATTGAAGGGGGAAATTCTGCAAGCTCTTCGTCGTCAAAGTTGCGGATGGATGGCGCATCTAAAAGAAGAGACAATAATTCCACTGGTAATTGAGCATCTGTAAACTAGTTAGCATGTAATATTTTAGGGTATTATAAAGTAGCTACATACCTTTCTTCTCAAGAATGGCATTGACTGAAATCTCCTCTTGCTCTGCAGGGATGGCTCGATGCAGGACGTCAAATGCTGCGGATTGGACTATCCTATTTTCTGAAGCTATCAACGGATAGAATTCAGAGATTTCATTGACGTGACTCAAAGGTATTTTGACTACCAACCGGGATAAGATATTATCGACAAACTCAATTGGTTGTGTTGGTTTAAATCTAGGTAGCTTCATGAGCTTGATGAAGCAACGAGATGCAGTTTCTCCATACTTAGTTAGCGCGTCCTCAAGGTCATCATTAGCATCTTGCAAACTCCGCAAGCTCGAGAATAGTTTCAAAGACATCCCCGTCATGGGGAGCTTTTGGTCGTAGTGCTCTTCGCTTTCCATTGATTCCCAAGTCTTAATGCAGAACTCCAGTGTCTTATCCCAATAGGACCCGTAGACTGATTTAATCGCTGGAAGCAATCTCTGCAGAGCAAGACAAGACTCAGAAGAGAGCTGATAGTTTGTGCTTGCAATTTCGGGAGTCCATGAAAGAATTTGCTTCACGGCAAATACTAATCTGTTCTGAGCCACAGGAAGGTCATCGCCATCGTATATGGATAATGTTGCATTCAAGAGAACAAGTAAACCAAGAGATTTTTCAGACTGAGCAGTGGCACCAGCAACATCACTAATGAGCCGATTGCAAAGATTGCCGACAATCTGACTGGTACTGAGAGTTTCGTGGAGCCCGGTCAAGATGGCAACAGCCCCAAGGACGTTCGATGTAGAGGACTTGAGAATTTCAAGGTTGACGATCCATTCCTCACTCCCCGCTGGCCATCCATGTTGTTCAACAAGCTTGGGTAATAGATGGCTCAATACACGAGCGGAGTAGAAAGAAGTAGATGTATTGCCGGAGGAGGCATTTAAGAGCTTCAGAACCAGGGTGTGAACAACACCCGAAAATTCAAGTGGCGACCCTGATTCAAAGCCCTCTTGCCAAGCTTTCGAATGGAGTAAGATGAATGACCATGACTCTTGATATATCCTGTCCACAAATTCGCGCGCACCAGCAATAGCTTCTTCGGATGATAACACGAAAAGCTTGTTGGTTTCTAGCAAGTCCAGTTGGTCGTTCGCTAGTTCTACAGTCAAGCCCAAGAGATATAGAATCTCGGCCAAAGCATCTTTTGATAAGCGATCAGGATGCTCTCGAATTAAACGTGCCGAATACATCGCCATTCTCAGAGCTACAGAATACCCATCGAGGTCTCTCTCAGGTCGGGAAATGTCACTACCCTTTTGTGTACGAACCAAGAACACAGCTCCCGCAAATGGTCTCATCACTCCCAAAGTAGGATTTGGCACTTGGTCCAATAGAGGAGCTAAGGCTTGAGACCATTTGATGGCATCTGGAAAGAGTTCGAGGTGGAGCAAATTATCATCTGAGGTAGCAATAACTGCTTCGGCCTGTTGAATAAGTGTATCGATGCTAGAAATCATTGTCAGCCACTTCTGTTTTGGCGGTTACAAATTGCAATGGAGAACTATACTCACGTCAATGTTTGAGGATTTGCATTTTCCAAGTTTTCTTTGATTATATGAACGACAGAGGAAGCAGTCACACCAGTTCCGTTGTCGATTAACGATCGTAAACTTATAGCCCGTTTACCAAGCTCAGAGTCTGACAGCTCTGTCAGTGCCAAAAGCTTCGTGATTAGATCCACATGCGCATTTCCTTCTCGAATAACTTCAGGTCGTCTTATGGACAGTAACTCGAGTGCTTTAAAGACAAGGTTTATTCTGGGATTAGAAGCATCTAATGCAGAAATCATACTTTGCAGTAATAAGCGTTCTGTTGGTTTGGAAAATCCATTGAAAACCACTGCCGCTTCGAATAAGGGCCATCCCTCGTTGTTCCCTTTTACCACTTCGCATGAAGTTTCAAGAAGGAAACCTTGGAGAGCCTGGTTATCAATAACTAAATCCGAAACATCATTACAAGATATTAGCGCTGTAATAGTTTTCTGCCGTTGCAAGTCCTCGGGGGTCGATAATAGGGCATCGATAGCGGCCTGCCAGATATTTTTGTATCTACTTTGCTGTCCAGGGATTGAACGGAATTGGTCTAAAGCCGAAGCTAGGTATGAAGACGACGGAGACGAAAGTAACTTGGGAAGGTGAGTTTCCATAAATGTCTTTACGGCCTCCAAGGTCGAAGAAGAAGCTTCAAATAACTGCGGAGAGGACCTCAGCACGAATTCTAACACCGCACTAGCAGAGTACGGTTTTCCATTCCTGTTGATAATGACTTGCAGCGCACTTTCAACTATATCGCGCGAAGGTTGTAAAAGAGGATTTTGATCGGCTGCCAAGTCCTTTAGCTTGAAGGTTTCAGACAAAAGCGAGAACCAACGGCGGCCTTCGGCGATGACCGCATCTTGTGACGATGAATAGTCCTTGGATTGCTCCGGCATTGATGTTTGAATCCTCGTAATAAAACCTTGAGCGAGCTTTTGCCATTCTTCCCCGAAGGACGGCTGAAGATTTGAGTTCTTTCCCAGAGTGATTATGAAAAATGATACCGTCGTAGACGGGGTATTACTCCTAATCAGCCACTCGGAAGTATTCGAGGATGGATGGAGATAGTGCTCAAATACAGGATAGGTGGATTTCTGCGTGACCTCCATTTGTTCAGAACTTGACAGGTTCCCAATACAGATATTGGATGTTTGTCCGTAAGCAAGCCACGCGTCATGAGAGTTGGACTTATGCTCCTCTCTCTGATTGATGCTCTTGCGGAATACCTCCAGAAACTCCAAGATAGAACCGGATTCTTGTGGTAGAACAGCTATTGGTAAAATTGCCACAAGAGCGCGCAATGTCTGCCAATAGACAGGAGAAGAGCCTTGTGAGCCTTTTCGAACGAAAGATTTTAAATCGTCCGTGGCGGAATGTTTGCCTTTATATGCCGAAGTCCATACTTGGGGAAATTGTTTGGTTAATTGGTATAAAGTCTGCAACAGTTGCAAAGCAGATGTTGGTTGAGGTGATCTCAATGCTTTTGATATGAATGCGCGACTGATAGTTCCAAGGTTGTTTTCGACCAGTTGAGTTTGCTTCTCAATGCAAAGCAACAGCAATTTATCGGTACTTTTTCTCGCAGAAGCATCCTCACATGAAGCTAAAGTCCATAATTTCTTATTGCTGAAAATAACCTTTTCGTAGATATCTTGATGCTTGGATATATCATCATTGCTGAGCTTGGCCAGCAGATTAGCAAGAAGAGACACGCTCGCACTATTCACCCTAAAGTACTTTTCATTTGCGTCTTCTGTCGGGACCGATCTTTCGTCGCTTAAAGTATAAGGGGTTTCATTTAAGGCTTCCTCGGCGTAGTCGAGGATCTCGTTCTGGCAACGCTTCCAAAACATATTCATTTTAGCATCTGTATCGAGGAAAGATGCAAGACCATCTGTCGCAGATCGCGCAACGGTTCGGTCTCTATCATATGTTCCTGCCAGCCAGCTTCCCACAATTTTTGGTATATATCTTTCCATTCTTTTCCGAGCCGATTTTAAAAGCTCATACTGCACACTGTGAGATAGCTCGCGGACGCGGCGTGAATTGTCTATGGAAATTCGAGGGTATACATTGACCTGTATAATGTGTTAGAGAAAGTACTCGCTACGCTCTCCATGACGCATCTTACCCAAGCTTCTAAAATTGCCTCTTCAATGCCTCCTTGCTCGTTTGGTTGATTTTGAACGAATGTTCGCAGATCCTCTAAACCTTTCGACTTTGTTGTTCCATCTTTCTTAGAAAGGTTCTTAAATGATACAACGACATTGGCGTCACTAATTAAAGAGAGGTTTGATGGTTCCGAGAGGTATGATAATCTAGTAGATGTTGTAGTAAAACCGAATCCAGAGCCCGGAGCAGTAATAGTCGCAGCACGAGTGCTAGAAGCCTGCGATGTAAATTGTCGTTTTCCCATTTTGGGTAGACGATTTGATAAGGGTAAAAGAGGATGAAATATCAAAAAATCTAATAGCTAATATCTAATATGGTTTGAATATTTATAATGGACGAAGAGCTGAGGTAGGTTTGAATGTACGGATGAGAAAATGATTGTTGGAGGGAGGAGGGGAAACATATATTCTCGTAGTGGAGAAATTTCATAGGCCGAACAATGACGGCAGAGTGTGGGACATTCAGTCAGTCCAAATAAAAACTGGCCAATGGTATTGCTAGAATTATCATTACTAAGGCTCTGGCCCTCAAGCCACTTTTTAGCTATGGATTAGCACAACCTTAGAAGCCACAAACTAAGTAATACTGCCGTACTTTCAAGGCGGTCAGAAAAGCTCCGTGAGCTCACCGGCGCAAACACGATGAATATCAATCAATGGTCACGGGTAGCCATGATAGCTATGATATCGATGGCTACTGCAAGAAAGGAACAATTCAGGAAGTTAAAAGTTGATGATTATATTGACATAATCTTTGGATGATGAAACTTTCCATCACAGCTTCACAATAAACTTGACTAAATTTCGGAATTTATAGTCAAGCTCATCATCATCATCATCATCGATATCATCGCCCATGGATCCTCAGTTCATTTTACACCAAAAGGTCATATCGTTTTCTTTCCGGAAAGGTTTATACTCGATGATCCTCGGGCGCTCAAACTTTAGCTGGTAAAACCTTCTTAGTGAAGGTCAGACTAGCAATGATATGTGAGATGGAGCTTTTTGTCTAGGTGGGTTGGTGTGGAATACGGAAGGAGATTCATTTGCGAAGGATAATAAATGAGTTTGCAAATGCTTGAAATTCGAAGAGAGCGGTTGTCCGTATAAGTGTATGTATCGTCCTGCTGGGCCAGAAATACTGTTCATATCAATAACATGAAACATATCGGTTTTGAAATTTTTGGAAATGGGGAGGTGACATGGTGGAGAAAGATGTTGGTCTCAATTCAGTTCTAGGTGATTGAAGAACATGAGCTAGCTCCTGATTTCCCGTACGATCGATACCGTAATCATGAGATTTGTTGGTATGAGGTCGCACATAATAAGGTTGTTCATTACACAATGCATGAACATTGAAAGGGCTCGATATGAGATAGCACTTGCCAATACATTCAGAAACTATGTCAAATCTTCACACTTTTGATATTTCTATGTAGTTGCGGAAATAAAATAATCAATTAAGTGCTCCTTCTATTTCAAGCAACTGTACTTTGCCATTCTATACCTACTTTCAATTCCGCTTTACAATTCTCTGTCTGGCCATTCACGTCTTATCACAGCATACATCCAATTCATTCATTTTAAGATTGTTATATTTTACCACTCGCTCGGTAATCACATTCTTTTTGTTGCTTTTTGAATAGGCGGGGCTCACTTATTCATTGTGAATTGATGAATTGCTAACGTTACGTGCCCGATAGTCTGTTGCACCAGAAATTAGAGCAAATCGGACGTTTTAAGGTCCAATTTGTCCAAGATCGCTCTGAAAACAAGGCTATAGCACTCTTCGATCGTTTCTCCAAATTCCACGGCTGGTTCTCAAAAATCCACAAGAGAAACCTGGACCTAAAAGGCTAGCGCCGCATGCCATGAAGGCCACTAATGATACGTCCAATAACGTAAGGGAAAGAGGTTGCATCGCCATGGAAAAATGCCTTATGTGTTCCAAAACCACATTCCAGATCGAGTCTCCGACCGACGATTGTGATAGAAGACTGAAAAAATGCTTTGCGTTCATGAAAAAGCGTGCTAATGGCAAGCATGTGAGCGATGACGAGCGTGTGAATAGTCATGGATATAAAGGGCTCACAAAAACTTGCTCCTTCCTCCATTTGCAACCTTCCCATAAGAAGCTCACCACACTCACCACAGAATATTTATTCGAAGTTCGGGTCGCAGAAGGTGACGGTGAAAATGGCCAAACAAGATGGAGCTCAGAATTCTGGGAACCAAATAATTGGGACCCAGAGAAGGATATTGCGGATTTCTGGTTGCGTATGAAGATGCCTTGGATGATCAGAATGATCAGTGAGCCCTTCGAAATCCTTATGGGACATTTTTTATGTCCACTGGAGAGGCCCGAGAAATGCAACGATAAGTGTCGTATGCAGAGAAATTCAAAAGACTTCAAACTTGTTGGGGATGTCCAGCCAATGGCTATTTCCATGGACTGCAAGTGTACGAGGGACAACCCACCGTCTCAGAAGTGGCATGTGCGTTTGTATAAACGTAAATCAGAACGTTCAATACGGGAAGACGAAGAGAAAGAACTTCTAAAAGATCATGAAAAGATGCGAGAAAATCAGAAGCAGAAGAATACAAGTCCGAACGAAGAGGAGCTTCACACGATTGAGGAAGAAAGAGAAGAAGTCACTGAGAACCGTGAAGGAGAACCGAGAAACGATAATTCTCTTGCAGGCAATAACATCCCGCCCCACGATACAGGAGCACGCGATTCAACGATTCAGGAAAATGCAGTGGGATTAAACGATGGTAATCCTCAACCCCTCGAAGATGAAAACATTTCAGCAACTGCTTTTGCAGCCGGTGAAGACATTAATTCAGAAGAAGTTGATGATGGAATTAGTCCATGGGAGGGTACCCAGCCTCAAAACAGAAGAAAGAATATCAATGACAGAATTTGGTACTCGTAGAGAAAAACGATGAGACGGTATAAAGTAGAATTGAATAACAGCGAGTTTGGACGCCTTTAGCCTTAAACAAAACACAGCAAAGCACAACACAGCACAGCACAGCATCTTTCATGATTTATTACACGTTCCTTTTGACAATTTGCTGATTGTGGTAATTTTTACGTAACGGTTGATCCGGTTATAATCAGTATACAGTGCATTGATTACGAGACAGCCGTAATTGGAGGTTGTGAGTGTTGGCAAATATCTAGCTTCAGGTTATGAGGAAATATGAGGGAGTCTCACAGTATCATGTGGAAGTAAGCTGCTGGTGGCCAGGCGCGGGTGGCCATGGAGACCTCCTAGCATTCTGAAGAATTGCATTCTATTTCTCATTATGTTCCATGTTTTCAAGTTTTTCTTAAGGTTATCTATATTGATATTCTTTTCCTAGAATGACACATTGAGTTTTACTACATACTTGCAAGCTAATGTGAGGATTCTTGAGAATGGGAAGTTTTGTTGCACGATTTGAATTCGAAAATAAAGCCAATTTCCCGGTCGTCCTCTTATGGTAGGTAGTTACCTACATAGTCTTCAGTATGGAAATGGAAGGGAAAAAAAGTTTCTTCTTACTTTCTATATGTAGATATTAGGTAAAAGCAAAAAACCTCAAACAAAAATGAAAATGAAGTGTCGTCCCATTTCAGTATACTTATGCACCATCGTGCTTAGGCACCATCATTACCTAATTGACCATCCTCGCCTGAAATCAGATCGTGCAGCTACCGAAATGACAAAGGGATCTTGTCATACCTACCCAAGGGAATCTCCGCAAGCTTCAGTGACAACCACCCTTGGTCCCCCCTCCCCACACCCAATCACTAGCAGCAAAGTCCCCCACGAACTCCCCCACGAACTCCCCCACGAACCACCCCACCTTCCCGAAGTCCCCGGCCCTCGGAGTTTATATGAAGCGAACAAACTTGATCGTGCAGATAGATCCCTTCCTATTCACTATTATATCTCTGGTCCGGGCACTCGTGAATATGTTACAATTTACTACGGTTCCTTTGTGGGGATTAAGCAGTGAAGTCATTGGGGTGAAGTTATTGGCGTGAAGTTCTTAAGGTGAAGTCATTGAGTATCTGTTGAAGAGTTACCTTGATGGTTTCAAGTTATCTTTGTTTCTGATATTGTCAAATCATTTAAGTGGAAGTATAGAAACTTTAGGAATTTTTTAGTAATACTTTCCTCAAGAAATCCATAGATCTGTCTGATAGCAATGTCCTTTCGTACATCCCAAGAAGGGTAATGGGTGGAAGGACTTCAGAATGATGGCTTATAATTAAAGCAGATCAGAGAGAACTTTTAGGGAACAAAGATATACTACAAATCAGATTCAGGATATAAGTTTTCGGTTCTCCTTCTCCTTCCCCTATGATGTTCTGCTTTTGTTTCACTTTCACTTCCTTTGTTCCTTCCATGCTTCGACTGGTGTGAAGATAAATGAGGACCGGCTCCGGCTCTCGGTGTTCAATATTGAATTAGAACCGACAGGAAGGAAGTAATTTTAATTCAAGTCTCAACAAGAATGTATTTGAGATTTTAGGAGTAAACCTTCCTAATAATGAGGTATTAACAAAAACTAATACCCAACGAAGAAGGTGAGGGAGACGAGGGGTAATCTGTGGGATCTATCAACCGAGAATACATAAGTCAGATCTGGAAAGTACGTTTGAGTAAGAAGAATAGAACGAGATACCAGAACACTTATCAAAACTTATCCGTCGGGGAACAAGCTGTCGATCCGACTCCGACTACTTTCTATATTCACTTAACAACCTTGATAGTTCTTTAGCGACCATTACGTTTCCTATCATTGATGGCTCATTATGAATCGCACCAATGAGAATGGATACAGAACATCTACGTATTTCCGGGAGTTCTTTCCAACGTACTGGGTTCTTACATACTTTGAGCTTCCTGGAGCCAGTGTCTGATAGTGTTTTCCTCATCTTCTAAGTGCTCAAAAACTAACCAGTCTTCTTCTCTAAGTTCATGATTTAGTTATACAGCCTCACAAGAAAGAAAATCTCTTTCAAAGTCCTTGGACTTTCTAAACAAGCTTATCTCAAGGAGCAACATAAAGCAGTCTCCATGACATACTCAAGATCTCGTCCGAGGATTCATACCTCGGGTGTCAAAAATCAGGGCAGAAAACGGCAGAATCCAAAGCTTTGGTATCCTGACACTGGTTCAACTTTGAAACTGGCGATATCTGGTAGATTCACTGCCGACGTCGGAGGCAGTGCAATGATCTTGATAAAGGTAACTATTAAGCGATGCCCACATTATCTACTTCCTTCAGAGGACCTTCGCCCCCTTTCCTTTTTCTCCTCTCCTTTCAATCACAATCATTAAACAACAATCATTAACAAAAACAGAACAACTACCCCCAACCAAGCACAATGGTATCTGAGGCTTCCAGAGCTATCAGTCCTTTGTCAATGAGCAACACAGGATTTGCTGACCACGAAGACATTTATCCTATCATTCATTCTGCACCCATCACTCCCCTTCAAGGGTCTCTCCTTAATTCTCCTTTTGATTCCAAATTCGGAGATTTCGATGGATATCAAGGTGATTCCGAGGAATCCCTTGATCCTGAGCCCATCCAAACCAACATGGTTCATCCGTTGGATGTCCCGAATTTTGACTTTTCCTTTCCTATGGAAGTTGATCCTGCACTAGTACCCGATTCAATCTTCCCAACCTCTGGCTCACAGTCAAGCACTCCAGACAGTCATTGTAACCAAAACACCGAGCTTCCTGAATATCTTTCTGTTACAAAGCATTTCAATCATTTTCCAGTCGATAATGGTGGAGCCCCTTCATCCGACCGAGTCACAACCCCGGACGGCTCGACCAGCTTCCACAAGCCGCACAAACACGCCACTTTTGTTGACCCCATGCATGCACAAGCGCATCTCAAACATGTTGCTGTATTCTGTTGTCAAATTCCGGATTGTGTGAAGGAGCCCAAATCCGATTTCAAGTACGCAATTCGACAATTAATTTTACATTATTCCCGACCAACAATTGCTGAGCCATTGTATGGTGGTCGCAGAGCAAATGTTCTCCCACAGTCAGAAAATCCAGACTTTCGTATTCCTATGCTTCTTCTTTCAGGAGATAGGGTTTACCGAGCTGAAAAGTTGGGAGATGATCCGGTCGTACGAATTTTTGTTGGTGATATAATCAACCGCAAGAAGAAATACTGGGAGATTTTACCAGGAGGAGTAGTTGAGCAATTGGGATGGGTTGATGAGCTCAGAGATACCGTAGCTGGTGCCAAAAAAACCAGTATCTGGAAGTGCAAGACTCATGGAGACGTTTGGAATGTCAGTGTCTTGGATCATATCTTTGATGATGGTACTGGCAACTCTGGTTCACCTCCTACAAGCACCACAGATTATGATAGTGGCTACGCTAGTTCTTCTGGTCAAGTGGGAGCTTCGCCAAGAAAGAGAAGATCAACATACGGCGACAATAATGCGGCTTTTAACATGCATCCCAACGCACCCGGCAACTTTGCTGTTGGCCATGACCATGATGAGAAAATCCCTATTCGTAGCCGCAATCACGGTCAGGCAATTCCTGTTCGTAATCACAAGCGCGATACCAAGAATCTGAGCGGCAACCACGATTCCCTGGGACAAATTGAAGAGATGGAATTTGAGGACTTTGAGATGACGGGTGATGTTACTGAGCTACTCACGGATAGTGACTTTACCAATGGTGGCGAATTTATGCAAGCTCATGGATTCATGTGGGATGATGAGCTTCTTCATGAGGTCAACCTGTTTAATTCCGACGAGCTCAATTCTGAGCACATCATCGAACACGACTTTTACGCTATTTGAGCTGAAATTACATTATTACGAGACGGATACGATAATAAGATACGGGAAACAAATTATGGCTGGCCATTACTGTAACTGACATAGACACACGCAAATTGATATCATCAGACGTTTATTTTCACACTTTGGATTATTAGGGGATTCGGTTACCGGGATGCGTGCATGCAGTTTGTTTTCATACAGGAATTACATTTTGATGGGATATTTTCCTTTGATGAGTTAATGGGTAATGGGTAATATACAATGGGCAATATATTTCTAGGTAGTTAAGGCTTTCTTTGGAGTAGTAGCGGTGTTCTTGCATTGAAGCATTATGGGAAACATGGCGTTGAGATATTGAAGCATTATGGGGAAGCATGGCGTTGAGACATTGATGGATGGATGGATGATATGATATGATATGGGGTGTATCTTAAGAGCTGGGCTGGTCCTAGAATGAAAGCAATGATATTCTAGAATCTATATGCGAGTCTTTCGTGCGTGCGTGTGTGCATGTGTGCATATGAGTTTTTATGATGTTAATGGGATATCTGGTGATTTTTAAAAGAGCTTCAATTTGTAAGATTGGGTATGGAAGGGTGGTTAAGGATAAGATAATTAATTATTGTTGGGTTTGAATGAGTAGTTTGAAACTTCTAGGTTCAATACGAGGTCTTGGTGGACTTGAGTGCTTGGATTAGAGGGTGAGTGGGTGGGTGAGATGGTGTTATTACTAGGTAGGTTGGTAAATGAGTAGGTAGGTAGTAAAAACTCGAGACCTATCGATATTGAGATTCGCATGCTTCATATGATAGATTTAGAATTATGCGCACTTTTGTGCTTTCTTTTGCGGTTTCTTAGGTAAGATATCATGATATTATGTTGAAATGTAGGTTAGGAGATAAGAGGAAAGCTATCGGTAAGAGGTAAGAGGTACCAAAAGATCAGATTATCGACGTTGTCTTACAACTACATAGTACATACTGATTCTATATATTGAATAGGTGTGGATGGTTACTGAGTGGAAGTTCAAGTTGGGAGTTAGAAAAGAGAAGTTGAAAGGGGAAGTATAATGTATGCGGCGATTGCGATGGGGAGATACTGGGTTTCAGCTCCGAACGGATGAGGGGAGTTCTTTTTTATGTGGTGGATGGGGCGGATAGGATGTGGATGAGATGTAGGATGGGATGGATGGATATGGAAAGAGTTTTCTTTTTTCATGTATTTTTTTTTGAGTTTGGTTTTGATGGTTTGGTGCGGATTTGGATTTGGGATTGGGGAATTGGGGTTGAAGGATGATTCGTGGGTATGGGGGGAGGGGTTTTTCGGCGAGTTTTGTAAGGTATCTGATCTCTTTGGGACTATGTGGTTGTAAGTCTTAAGATCTCAGTAGACATTACAGTACTAGACCACAGCTATTTGCTGGGTGGTGTGACGCCTCACACCTCCGGGTCACGTGGCATGCCCCGTTTGTATTTAATCATAGGAAAACTCTCTACTCTTGTTTTCCTTCTTCTTTTCTCCTTAGCTTAGTATTTTCTAATACAAGATACTTTACCCAGTATTCTTGAGTGTGACAGGTGGGGTTGCTACACCAAAAGTCAGTTACTTCAATAAATTATTAAAATTTTATCTAATAATAAAATGTTATTCAAAATTGATATATTGAATATTTCGATTTAAATCAATAATTAAAATTTAGAAATTTATCTTCGTTATTCTTTTAAATTATATAATTAGATTAGAAAATTGAAAAAAAAATTGATTTGATTTTTGCAAGGAAAATCAAGAAAAATATATAAATCGATTTCAAATTATTATTATTCAATCAATAAATTTTTTCAGAATTCAAAATTTATTATATATAATCTTTTGATAAAACTAATTAATATTTTTTAAAAAAAATATAAAAGTTCTTTATTATATCAATATCTTTGAATGAAAATGGTATAATTTAGTTATTTTTAGTGTAAAATTAGATGTCAGCTAATATAAGTGGAGGGGTACTGTAAGAATAACATATTTCCTAGCATAAAACTTGCTATGTGATTTTCCCCCTCATCGTATGCACAATATCTCAATACAAAGAACCCAGCGACCCACACCATAAGTGAAAAAACCACAGCGGAAATCTTCTATCCCAGCGCGATTGATTCACAACCCCACTGTGTCGAAGCTAGCAGACTTAGACTACCTAGGCTGAGAAACTTCTGCAGTGCAGCTGTACATATACATGTGCATATTCCTCGAATAAGCAAGCTTTCATGATTAGAACGCTAAATCATCTATTATCTGACATCTGACTTTAGGGAGAAATCCTCTTGGTATTTCTCCTTCTACATCCGCATCGACGGGTGGGGAGTAAAAGAGTTCAACCAGACTGTTTACGAATGTGTGGAGGTTTTTGGAGCAAAGATTGAGGATTAGAATAGGTAGGTGGATTCTTCAATATTTGGTAGGTATTTTCTCGTATTTGCTCGTGTTATTTTGAGGGAGACATTTCATTGAAATCTTTTTTTATACAGCCTCAAACTTTGAACTTCGAATTTCAAACTTTCAGAAGATTTTAAGAAAATGCATTTCATCACACAAACCATCATCGCAGCAGCCTTCCTCGCAGGCACCGTCTTCTCAGTTCCAAATCCCCTGATGAATGATAGTGATGGCGACAACCAGGGACCCGTTAGTAATTTTCCAACTTTTCCCTTCTGTATCTCTTCATATAGACAATGTTCCCATCCCGACGGGATATATGAGCTCGAAAAGAACAAACAAGCAAACGAACAAACAAAGCAGGATATATTGCTATTGGAAATATTGCGAGTTCAAGGACCAAACTTTTGGTATCCTTTGCAAGAAGAACGAAGGCGAACCATATCAACATGATGTCGATTGTATCTTAGCATCGATATGGAGCATCTGGCCAATCTGACTTGTTGCCATCAAACGGATTGTCTTGATCAATAGCCGATTACGGTTGTATGAAGAGTTATGGGCTTTTGAGGGTGGAAATTTGGGATTGGAGATGGGGTTGGAGGAGAGGATAGGGCGTGGTTTCGTTTCTGAGGATTAGTTTGCTGCGGATTGTTGTTTCAACCTTTGATATAAGGGGAGGTTTAGTGGATGATCTCGTTTTGAGCATGTGAATTGGTATTTCTGCTTTGCTTTGAAAGTAAGTGATGGTATTTGGCTTTGTGAGAGTCAGGGTTCAATCAATTGTTTGGGTAGTCAGCTTGGCAATAGAGAATCACTTGTGGAGGTATTATTTTGGAACTAGAGGTGTGCCATTAGAACCACAGATGTGATCTACGTGCAACATGGAACGTGAAATTGTAAACGATACTGAGTAGCAGCAAGAAGCAAGACACATTACTTGACCTGGTTGAAGTGATCTTTAATGAGCTATGTGGAAGCTAATCTCTTGATTCCAATTTCTCAAGGAAGAACGAATGTTTTAATGCCTAAAGGAAAGTAGTCAGCGAACAGCCTTTGACTTTATGGAATCAGTATTCGTGAGTAAGTTACCTGAACTGCAGTCAACCTCTTGCCACTTTCATAGATAACAAGACTCGCGACTAAATCCCTTCCATCATCCTCAGCATCTGGAAGTAACTCTTCCCATGATTTGCTCGGGAAAATGTTCCACCATTGAAATGGGTTGGTTTTCCACTTCATTGCCTCCGGCCATGTCTGCTCGGTGGGCGTTCCAAGAGTCTTGAACATACTTAAAATCAGTCCCAATTGATTCCCATCTTCATCGCCGCGTCGACTCTCCAGGAGTGGGATGGGAGGCGAGCGAAGGCATTCGGCGAGTAGTACACCAGTGGACCACAGATCAAGAGAAGTAGTGTAAGATGTATTAGAGAAGAGAGTCTCTGGACCGCGATAGCACGTAGTACCAACCTCGAGACATTTTTGGTCAGTGGGCTCGGTAGATGAAGAGATGCTTGGATGCCATGCGGTGCCAAAATCAGTTATGACAATGGGATCCTTGCCATTGATATCATGAGGTAAGAGAATATTGGATGGTGATATATCACGGTGAATTATTTGCTCTGCGTGGAGATATGCAAGTCCGGATAATAATTCTTTAAAGATCTTTTTAGTTGTGCCTACGTTGAGGCCTTTGCTACTTCTTGATAGTAGATCTGATAAAGTATATGGCATATATGGCAACAGCAAGACCAATCTCGATTCTTGATCATAAAGTGTCGTATGGAGTGAAATTATGGAAGGATGCGAGAGCCTTTTCAGGATAGCAATTTCACGAGTGGGGGAGTGTGGTTCCATGTTATGTGTTTCTGTTATCACTTTCAGTGCATAAGAGCCCTCCTCAGTATCACACCTATAAACTTGAGAAACAGCGCCGCTAGAGATATGGTGACAATTGTTGTAGGGCCCTATGGTTATGCCGGGGCTTTTGGGTGCAGAAAAGGTTTCTGATGAAGAGGCTTCAGCATTTGGCTCAGTAGGATTGCATAAATCATCGTAGGTAGCCTATTTCTTGTGTCAGTAAGATTCCGAAAGCGATGTATATAGTAACTCAACAGAGGGGTAGAGTTCTCTGTGTACGGTTCAAGAAGGAAATAATATGGATAATATGGAAGCAGAAAAGTATCATGGCAAAAGGGGGGGGGGAGGGAAATGATGCTCACGTGATAGATGACACCAATATTTGAAACCATTAACTCACTCTAGATGACGAAGAATTATAAGCTTCTGATTCTATTTCGAATGCAGTTTTCTGTGTGTTTCCACTGAGCCCGCCAAGCGCGAGATGTTTCTTCCTATTTTTAGGATAATTAGCCATGGCAGTTCATGTGTTGAATTGGAATAGTACCACTTTACAGCTTTAAGATATTATCATATCGTTCAGAAGCTTTTAAGTCTTGTTTCCAGTCTGTTGTGGAGTCCATATTGTCGAACCAAGAGGATCGAAAGATTGATAAACTGGGCAATTGCAAAGGTTGTGTTGACTCATGAATTGCGTGTTCTCATAATATTGTCTTCTCTCATTTGATGAAAAGCTGTTTTATCCGAGGTGATTATAAGTACATTGAATACGAGATGATCTCTTTCATTACCTATTTATCTCTGTTTCTAAGTTTCGGATAAAGTCCGGAGGGTTTTTATACAAAATATGAAGTTATGGATGGGTGGATTAGCTGAGAGAGATGAAGATTCAAGATTCTTGAATAAGCAAAGTGCAATCAATACTTGAATGATATATGGTCGAGAATATACAGAGATTTGGTAATATTCCTCTCTTCTCTCGGTGGACTCCCTTAATAATCCGGTCAGTTCTAAAATCTCAATAGGATTGATTGATTGTTGCTAGGCCATCAATGATGGGTTTCTGAGGTGGGTTCACCAGTTTGATAACCTTGAAAGGTCACTAAAAGCTCACTGGTGGATCTTCTACAATTGAACCATCACGTGCTCCATCCATTGCATTTCCTCTCATTTTGTTCTGCATGATTTTCTAACAAGGATGACAAGCACTACATACAGTATCTACTCCGTACATACCTATGGAAATGGAAACAACCGAGAAGCTCCGACCAATTAATTCCAGAAGAGCCGCTTTCGCTCCTTCGAGGTTGGGAATCGTGGAGAACATAGAACATCTAATTCCGAAAGCATGATATATTGATAAATTAATCAATTCTCTCTCTCACTTAGGAATTCCAAACTACCTCAATATGCACATACATGTCCAATTATAACTCATCATTGTTTACATTGTTTACAATAAAGTGCTACTACCACCATTAATTATCACAAGGTCCAAAGTTCTTCTTCAATCATTGCTATATGATTATGAGCAATCATTAGTTACACAGATGATCAACCTATTGGGAAGTTAAGATTACAACAACCACAAATATGGATGCAGTCGACCGTCAAGAGTATCCTGCTATGCTGGTAAGTAATCCTTCGGTCGCAGAACTATACTATACCGTGCGGCCATCAAACTCATCTGCTGACTCTGGCGCAGGATCGATTACAACCAGCTGCGGCGGCAACAAAACTCAACGAGCGTGTGAAGAGGATAAACAAAGTGAACACGGAAATTGCGGATTGGTTGCAGGTATGTATTTGTCGAACTGCTGCGATGGCATATTGTTTACACATTTATTAGGAACGTCGGAAAGTAGAAGAACAATATGTTGCCGGCCTCCGAAAACTTGCGCGCAAACCTTTACAAGAAACTGGAGGAGAATTGGGGTATGGCATTTTGGGACATCCGGACTCGATATGAGCTAACCGGACGTTAGGGTATTTGATGCACCATGGAGAAAAATCGTGGGTTCGGTCGAATCAATCGCGGATTCTCATTTCAATCTATCCGAACGAATTTCGAAGGATGTTGAACAACCTTTGCGACAATTTGCTACACAAAATAGAGAAATGCAGGCAATGACGACAATGCAAGGCAACCTCACGGCTATGGCTAAGGAAGTAGACGATGCGCAGCATGCATCGGACAAGCTCAGCAAGAAGGGGGGGAAAGCAAGCACCCAGAAGGTGGAAAATGCGGCTGCTAAACTACAGAGTGCTGAACAACAATGGCAAGCTCAGGCTCCATTCATATATGAAAGTCTTCAGGTGGCAGACGAAAGACGGTTGAATCACCTACGAGATATCCTTACGCAATTCGAAACCCACGAAGCCGATAGAATTGAGAGAAGTCGAGTAGCCGTTGAGCAGACCCTTACAGCATTATTAGAGGTAGACACTGCTCAGGAAATTAGGAATTGGTCGGAAGCAACCACCGGTGGTAGGCCTGTCACTGAGCGGTCCAATAGAAATATTTCTAGCGCTGGAGATAGTGGCGGTCCCGCATTACCAATACCTCCTCCCACCCCAAGGTCTACACACTCAGCTGCTGCTAGTGATGTCTCCAAGCAAGAAGGTTCTGGTGGTAAGTGACAGTCCTTGAAATCCTTTGTTTCTACATAGTGCTACTGTGACATATACTAACATACTAAATCTAGAGTCGAAGATAAAGAGCCGCTTTGGCACGATGCTTCAACGTAGACGCCAAAGCATTCATGGAGGATTTGCTCGCGCCCCGTCACCGAACAAGGGATTCTCAACTATAAATCGCAATTCCAACAGCAGTTCCGGACGACCAAATCTGTCACCTCATACATCATCAAACAACTTACGAGACTCCACTTCGCAAGACAATCGACTCTCTGCTCTCCCCGAATCACCATCGAATCGAGATACACTGCAACCTAATGGCAATTCTAATGGTGTGGGTCAAGAATCATTGGGCGTATCGGATATGGTTAGGCCAGCTACCTCTAATGGTGTATCAAGCCCGGGAATGATGGATTTATCGGAGGTTGAGCCACCTCCAGGTCCACCCCCATCGCATTTCAAAGAGACTCAGAAGGATTCTGAAGGCTTCTCGGTACCGGCAGCCATGGACGATCCTATATCGCAAGCTCAACAAGAGGCTCAAGAGCATAACGAACCTCAATTTAAGCTAGACATTCGAGATCAACCCATTCCCGAGCAAGATGCAGATGCACAAGCTGCATTGTCAAATGTCGCCAATACTTTGCGTTCATCTCAAATGCCCACTTCAGCTCGAAAAGTTGGTACCGTCCGAGGCCGAAGAGATGTTCGAAATACGGTCTATGTTCCTTCGCCTAATCTTGAGGTAGGTAGCATAGAAAACAATTTGCCTCCTTCGCCAGCTCTCCCACCGGGGGCAGCACGTGCGGCTGCCTTCGCAGCTATCTCCGAACATGGGCATGGCCATGGTGCCCCAAGTGTATCTGATACAAACTCCATTCGTTCCGGGCATTCTCTTCATAATAATGTTGTGGTCAAGCATGGTGATATGCACCACCCTGGCCTCAATGCGTCAATGATAGAGACTGTCAATGCCACTATAGAAAATGGAACAGTTAAAACAGTCAAAATCAGTGGGGAGGTCGCTTTGATCTACATATCGTCAGCGAATGGTACTCCGTTACCAGCTTCAGGTAAGCCAGTCCCAATCTACGCGGCTGCAGAGTCTAACGTAAATAGGAACCGAGACAATCCGCATCAACAACTTCCCCGCTCTAGAAGCTATCGGCCCTAACAGAACATTCATTCATCCAGTCTCATCAGAGAAACCGGACGAATTCACAGTTGACCTTGCATCAGTATCGCATAAAATATCTCCAGCATTCACTTATCGAGTGCACCTCGATGACCAGGATATATCTGCACATTCACCTGTGCTGTTGAAGCCAGCGTGGAAACCTGTTGGTGATAAGCTTGGTCTTATCATCGAGTACGCACTCAATCCAGCTTTCTCATCCGATCCCGTAGCTTTCAACAACCTCGTTATCGTAGGTAAATACGCAGGCGCTGGAGCTGCTGTATGTAAATCCAAGCCTACTGGCACCCACTATCGTGACAAACGTTCTATCGTTTGGCGTCTTGGAGATGTTACGCTCAATCATGAATGGCATAAAATGAGCGCTTTATTCTCCGGACCAGATGGTGCAGTTCAACAAGCAGATCATGCCGAAGCCAGGTGGGAAGTGCAACGGCCAATTCTTGACAATGGCATCAGTATTTCGAGATTGGAAGCAGTTAAAGGTGCAGAGGAATCGGATCCATTTGCAGATGAGTCATTAGCTCCAACGGGAGGTAATTGGGTTGATGTTGAAACAAGTAGGAAAATTGCCAGTGGAGTGTATGAGGCAAGGCAGATTACAGCGTGAAAAAATAGGGCTACGTTGGAACGTTGAGGGCGAGGAGGAATGGAGTTTTTTTTTTCGGGAGTCATCTTTGACTGTTTGGGTGCGTCGAAAAATGCTTGAAAGGTAAATAAATGCAGATGGAGCTATCCATGTTGGAAGAGTAATGGTTGGGGCATTTGAGAGGTGGTCTTCGAGTTGATACCTAGCGTTTATCGCTATCTTTCGTTTTTCAGCGTTTGTAAGTATATACTATCCATAGCGAGCTTGTTTGAGATTAAGGCATGGTCTTTCTGCCCACATAACTTTGTGATACAAAATGTAAAAATGAATTGATTCCTGTTATGGCAGTCTTTCTCGGTATGGACATATCTTCACGGACATATGCAGCCCCTGGTGGCCATACGATGGATATAATAAATCGTATGTCAAACCCCATACGAGTTGTATGATAATATCTGGATGGGTTTTATATCCATAGTATTAGATAATTTTCAAGGATTTAATAGTCTCATATTAGATACTGGTTAATATTCCCATTCTAATCGGAAAATCAAAATATTCTTTTTCTTTAAACTTGAAGGTTTTGATTGTAAAGATGTATATACACCTACGCATATCCTGTTTATAATGTATTCATTCTTTGATTTTCATAGTTGATTCTTGGTTCTCGGTTCTCAGTTCTCAGGTGTTCTTGGTGATACATTAGATAGGTAAGTAGGCAGGTATTTGTGTATTTTGTATTGTGTATCGTGTGAGATATCAATCTTTTTTTTCTTTTTTCGTTTCTTTTTCTTTCTTTGCTTTTCAGCTATACTCTATCATGTATGTATCGTCTGTTATAATTTGAGGATATAGTAAACATGTCGAGTAAGATAGAAAATGACAGGTTCGAGTTCAGAGTTTATGGTTCACGGTTCATGCATGGGAACGGGCTGGGTATGGTTTTTTTTTTTTTTTTTTTTTTCGGATGTGATTGGTTGGGCTGTTGCGTACGGTAAATGTAGCATATTGCTGGGTATGCACACCTCTGATGGTCATTTTGTGTGATGATGATCTGTGAT